GTAACATCGCTCTCAGACCTGACGATCGTTTCTTATTTGGCATGTGGTGGCGTGAGTCATATTTCGTCGATTTGGCTCTTCCGTTTGGTCTACGTTCCGCCCCATTTATCTTCAACTCCGTCGCCGAAATGGTGGAATGGATTCTTAAAGCTAATTATCGCGTTCGTTTTCTCCTTCATTACCTCGTCGATTTCCTGACCCTTGGCCCCGGCAACTCCACCGAGTGCGCTAGTAATGTAGCCATCGCCAGGTCCTTATTCCTCCGTTTGGGTTTGCCTCTCCATCCGTCAAAGTGCGAGGGTCCTACTACTACGTTAGTCTTTTTAGGTGTGGAACTAAATTCTCTCACCCAGTCTGCTCGGTTGCCATCCGCTAAAATTGTGGTCATCGTAGAGCGTCTCCAAAAATGGAATCGTAAGTCTTGGTGCACTCGTCGAGAGTTAGAATCCCTTATCGGCTCGCTTCACCACGTTACGAAAGTTGTTCCGCCCGGTCGCACGTTCCTCCGGCGTATGATTAATTTGCTTTGCGCTTTTCGTTCACCAACCCACCCTATTCGGCTCAATACGGAGTTTTTCCTTTAATGTTTACCTAGCTGCTGTCCGTTCCTATCATATTGACCTTGGCTTCCCGGATCCCACGAAAGAGAAACCAAGGCTTCGTCGTCTGCTTCAGGGCATCCGTCGTTCTCGGTCTGGCGTTTTACTCGTTACGCTGCCCCATAACCCGCGATCTATTGGATGTTATTCATTCGTCGACGGTTGGTGATCTTGGCGGCTACGATGCAGTTATGTTTTGGTCTGCGTGCTCTCTGTCATTTTTTGGTTTTCTGCGTGTCAGCGAATTCACTTCGGTTGTCCCTTTCGCTTCGTCCCGTCATTTGGCACTCGCTGATGTACACTTCTCTTCTGGTTCGTCAGTGGGCATTCGTCTTCGAATCAAATGTTGTAAGACTGATCCTCTTGGCGTCGAACAGGTCCTGTACATCGGGTCTTCACACAATCATCTCTGCCCTGTCTTGGCGCTTCAGGCTTACCTCGATATGCGTGGCAGCGGCCCTGGTCCTTTATTCCTGTGGTCGGATGGCTTCCCCTTAACTGCTCAACAAGTCAATTTCTTTCCTTCGCAAAATTTTGAGGCGGGCCGGCGTAATGGGGAACTACTCATCTCACAGTTTTCGCATTGGGGCTGCTACTTCCGCCGCTGCGGCTGGGATCCCGGATCATCTAATTCAAGCTCTTGGACGTTGGACTAACCAAGCTTACCTTCGCTGCGTTCGCACATCGCCGCAGTCATTTTTCAACGTTGCCCCGCTGCTGTAGGGTTGGAGACTGGTGGAGAAGGTTAACGGTAACCTAACTCCAACCCTTCATCTGGCTTGGAGACATACTTGAAGGAGGTACCGTTAAAATAGCATGGTTCGTTGAGTTATTATCTGCGCCGAAAACAGCAAACTCAAAAGAAACACCGTTTCACCCCTAGCCCGATCGTTTCGCTCGGATACCGTCTCCATCCCTACCGATCGGCAGCGGGCAAAAATATAGTGTAAGTGCTGGTGTGCTATCGTACTGGTGTGAGCCTTAGGATCCGTTAGAACGTTAAATGTATTTATTATTAAATAACAAAGGAAGTTAATGTTATACGGGTCTTCGTATCGTAGTGTCTCGGGTCTTAGGACGCTTGTCCGGTCGGCTACTTGCCCCCTCCGGTGAGTATAAATATGAGCCCAGTTTGCCTGATCGAGTTGTTAGTTGCTTGCGTGACCCATCCCTCCCGTTTCCCTAACGACTTCACGCGATGTTGTGAACTCTACGGGAGAAGCGTCTTATTAATCTCGCTGGGGTTTTTTTTTTGTTAGTTTGTTTTGCAGGATTAAGCACTGTTCTTTTCACACCCGTTTTGGTCGTGGAATTGGTGTTTGGGGTAAAGGTAAATTCATTAATGATCGCCACATTTACAGGTATTTTTTTTGTGTGTGTGTACTTTGATGTTCGTATTGTTTATTTCACGGTTTCACTTCAGTGACTCACGTGTGACAGTTGATCACGGGATGGAGGAGGTACCGTTAAAATAGCATGGTTCGTTGAGTTATTATCTGCGCCGAAAACAGCAAACTCAAAAGAAACACCGTTTCACCCCTAGCCCGATCGTTTCGCTCGGATACCGTCTCCATCCCTACCGATCGGCAGCGGGCAAAAATATAGTGTAAGTGCTGGTGTGCTATCGTACTGGTGTGAGCCTTAGGATCCGTTAGAACGTTAATGATGTTTAAAACATTTGAATGTATAACATGTAATTGAATATCAAACATTAATCAAAATTCAGTTATTCAAATTTTTTGCTGAAAAAAAAATAAAAATAATATTGCCTGAATAAATTATTTGTTTGTATTTCTGAGCATTTCTATTATCATTTCAGATTGTTGCCTCTGCTGTTCCATCAATGTCAACATGTTACTTTGCATTGCTGCAAATTGATGAATTTGTTGCTGTTGCTGTTGTTGCTGCATGGTCAGGCTCTGTAATAAATGTTGTTCTGTAGCTTTATGCTGTGCAGTTTGTTGTTGAAAGCATGCCTCCAATTGCTTAAAAAATGTTGTTTGCACTTCTTGTTGAGCTTGGCGATCCTCTTCTCTTGCTTTTTTTTCTTCCTCTTGCATTTTTTGCTTCTTTTCGATAGCTTCCTCTAGAAACTGCATCGACTTCTTTGCTGATCGCCGTCTTTTTTCTTCACTGGATGTCTGCCCCAGTCGTTCTCTTGTCTCTCCCAAAGTCTTCAATGCTCTCTTCCTCATCTCCAATGCTTTTTCTCGGTCTTCATTCTCATTATTCTTTTTTTCCCTACATTCTTCTTCTGCCCTCTGGTTTGTGTCATCCTCGATTTCAATGAGCTCTTCCAACAAGACCTTTAACTCACTTCGGTCAACACTTCCTCCACCAGTTGTCCGCTATTGTTTTTCCATTTTAGCTTTATGCTTCTTTGTGAGCAGTTTAAATCTATCTCGTACAGACTTAACATTGACCTCAAAGTTTGGCAGATCATTCACTTTATCGACAACCCGCTGCCAGGATATACCTCTGCTTGTAGATTTGGACTTGTGGTGCAGTACTCCTTCTACTGCCATCTCCTGCAACATGATTTTGTCCATATCCTGATTCCATACCATAGCTGGCCTGGCAATATTATGATGTAAATGTATATTACTGTATATTTGTCAAACAGAGCTGTAAAATTTATATTATATCATTAAGTTACAGTATATAAAACAGAATAAGTATACTTCTTTTGTAGTTTTTCATTAAGATCCTCAGCGGCATCCATCTTTTTCTTATTTTTTTACCTGTAATGTGATATCACATATATATAGTATTATAAAAGATGGAGGATGAGCACAATTTATTGTTGCTGGGCCTTTTTTTCTTTGTCTTTTCTGCCACCAAATTTAGTTTAGAAATTGTTAAATTACCTCTCTTTGGGCTAGTATTCAAAGGTAAATATTTAAATATAGATTATTAGAAAAATATGTGTATTTTTGTGTGGAAAAATATGTAAACTACCGAAGTAAACCGAAGAATATTCTGAAGGCGAAGTATAGCTTTTACACAAAAAACAGTTTTACTTCTCTGTTTTGCCGAATCCGTTTCGTTTTTTTGCACAAGACTATATATCTTATACGAGGATCAAATGCGAAAGAGCTTTAAGTAAATGCTATAGTTTATTAGGAGTTTTGAAAGGATATGGCACGTTTAACTTTAATTTCAGGCACCTGTTTATGTTTTTATAACTGGGGAAAACCCGCTCACGCTTATTAACTATGCACTTCCTGTTTATGCTAAATTTGACCTTTTAAAAGGTCAGTCACACCAGAAATCTGATTGGAACATTTCTTATAAAGTATTTGTCTCATAATATCTGTTTTAAAAAAAATTGGCTTACCTTTTTTGACGAGAAAAGTATATATCAAACTGCCGTCCTAGACAGGACGTCAAAACATGCAGCTGCTTTCACGGCCTAAACGCGACACGACTGCCGTCCTAGATTTGACCGGAAGTAAAATCTCATCTGCCACACCATTTTCACGGCGTCTTAGACGTCGCGTCGTGTTTGCTAAACCTCTCTATTATCTCTGACGAACTTCTTGCAAATATCTTCTCGTCTTTCTGACAATGTGCGGAGACTAGCTTTGCACAATGACTCCTCATAGGGTAAGCCAGGGGCAATTATTTTCAAAGCTCTTTTTTGAACCTGTTCTATTTTTGCACTTAAGTACTCCGGGATAGCAGACCACACAGGGGCAGCATACTCTAAAATAGGTCTAATTAGGCTGCAATATACCATTACTAGTTCTTGACATCCAACTCTTGCTTTCCGCAATACACGAAGAATTAGCTTTCTTGATGATATAATCACAGTGTAAATTCCACGTGAAGTCACTGCTTAGATAAACACCCAATAGCTTATACGACGTTATTCTTTCTATTGTTTTTCCACCTATTTGTAAGTCTCTAGACTTATTGGCTGTGGGAGCGGTACATTAGATGTAAAAATCTGCTGAGTTGATGGACCTGTTGGGCTTTCATTTTCTTGTCGTTCTTGCTGCCTTCGCGTCGCCATAATTAATGCACTTCAGGACTCGATTCCTTCTAGAGATTATTCGCTTTATCAGCGTTTATACTTTAGCTTTTTGATGTCTCTGTTCTTTGAGAAGCTAAAGTATCCCACACCTGACACCATGTCATATTATCGTATCCAAACTCGTGTATTGAGTACAATTTAATACAGAAGAAGTGAGAGAGATTATTTACAACAAGCTAATATTTATACCTAACTACATTACCCATCATGCACGGGGCACGAGTTACACAGGGCACCTATGTAGATAACGTTACAATATGTAGAGCTCAGTGGTTAAAACGTGCCTTTATCAAGCAACATGTAACCGGCCACATTCATACATTATTGAATAATGTATATGATGAAAGATAAATAAAAACATGATTAGGGTGCATTGTCGACTATTAGGAGGCCAGTGCCCTACTGCCCTTACATTGGTAATCTTATTATAAGTTAGTGCGGGTAACGCTTAAATATTTGTAGCTCTTTGCCTATTGCCACAGCTTTAAAATATCACGTGTCATCCTATTTCTAGGAATTTCTTTTGATTCTACTCCGTTATCTTGATCAAATCCGTTCATCCAATGTTTCGTACGTCGGTAACGAAAAACCAAACAATTCATGATCCAGTTTGTACAGATTAATAAGTTTATGGAAAATAATTTTTGGAAGGCTTTTAAAATAACTTGCTGTCGATTTTTTTGTTGTCATCTGCGGTATGCTCGATTTTTGTTGAATAAAATGCGTTTCTCTATTTAGATTGATTTGTTTTGCTAAGTAATTCAAGTCCCTTTGAAGATTATCAATCAAACTAATGAAATCGTAGTGAACATCGCACGGACTGCACAGAACGTTGAATCGCATAAAATGTTCGTTTAAATCAAGTGGCATTTCGTCAGTGAGGTAACCTATATATTCATGGAAAGTTACATTTTGTACAAGGGAAATTTCATTTGCGGGATAATTTCGATATACTCTCACATGTCTGGCAATTGCTTCCAGCCATAGGCTTGCAACTATTTGTCCTTTTAATTTTTCTTTCCAAGCAGACAAAAGCCGTTCCAAGGGATCTCGAACAATCATAAACTTGTAAAAATTCGTTAACATTTGCTGACGTTGCTCTTCGCTATATTTTTTGTCACTTAAAAACACCAGATTTTGACGAGAGTGTGTTTCTTGGTGATCCAACTGTGTAACACTCGCACTTTCATTATTCAACACAATAAATATTCTCTTCAATTGTGTACAGGCAACCTTCGGTATGTAGCAATAAATAACTCTGTGAGATTCATCGACGATCAAGTGATGATAAAGAAGATTCTTTCTTCTCATTTTTATTTCGGACACATTTCCAAATATTTTGGTCATGTTTGATTTCCGGCAAACCTTTCTTACTTGCTCTTTCCTTGTCGTGCTGCTCTTCAGTGCCTGTAGAATAGATATTAAATAAACGAACACTACCAGTGTATGGAAACGTCATCCTGGTGTTGTTGTAAAATTCTAACAAGACATTTGTCTCGATTATACTATAATTGCGACTTCATTTAATGGTCGTGAATACTTCCGTGTAGCTGATGTAATGGAATATTTTTGCAAAATGATCTTTTTATTTTATATCTTTCGTTGAATCACATTTGAATGTTTTTCGAACTTTCTCCTTCATTCGCTAGATTTTTTTCTATATTTTCAATCAAAATACTTAATAATTGTGTTGGGTTAAACTAAACAACGGACTAAAAATAAGAAAATGCCGAGTGAGGAATATCTGTGACTCGTGATCAAAACTTTCAACCTGATTTTGAATATAACATTTGATTTATGCCTACGAAGTAAAAAAAAAGTGAGACTCGTAAATCGCCTCTTGAGTTGTGGGGACTGTGTTGCGAATTTTATTGACATTATTTTTGGAATGTGAGAGATTAGACGTATAATTAGACCTGTTATAAACACCGAAATGTTATCGTTAGTACATAAATAATACAATCACTTACCATCATGTCATCGTGCGTATCGCGTACAGGTGTTGGGTCTTCTCTGTTCACATTACCTAGAATAATGCAAAAATAAAATGAATAATATAATACAGCTTCATAACTAGGATTCTGAGCCCACAATGCACTAAAATTCAGAGCTATTTAGAGGTGTCTGATGCCAGGGCCTCTTTTAATGGGGTGCGTTACCAAAAAGCGGCCTCTTCCTGCCCCCCCCCCTTGTGTATATCTCCCGTCTGATGCCCTCAAATCTGAAGTTAAATACTAGCATTGCAATAACTCTGCAAATGACGATTGGAATAAATCCGTTGTCCATCTGATCCACTGGGCATATCAAATGTCCATTTGCATATTTGATCGCCAAACGAAGTATTTTTAATGCATGGTGCTAGTGGGTTCAATTGATATGGGTCGGTACTGGATCATAGACAACATATATGCACAAAATTGCGAAACCTCGGGATATATTGGTCAGCGGAGCACAGTAACTGTATTGCTATGTTTCGCCTAATTTTTTAAAAATTTGATTTAAAGCTTGGTAACGAATCCACATTATTAAAATCTTGAAATTAACTAAAAATCTTTACTGCTCTCTGCTGACCAATATATACAGGCGTTTCGCATTTGTGCATTTGTTGTGTATGATCTTGTGCCGACCATTGACATGGCATGTATAAAAATGTTCAATGGACACTTTTTTTGTTAGATCTATTGATATGAACTTGCCACATAACAATGCAGGCTTATTGCAAGGGTTTTTTGACTTTTTTCTCATAAAAATAGCAGTAGAGTAAGTTTTTAATCAGGATAAACACTTCCAATGGCGCAACCATACACAGGGTGTATAAAAAAAGCGCAACCTTAATAACTCCCAGGGCCTACGACTGTGGGTTAGAGACAATAAGGTGGTGTTCACATGACGAAAGCAGGGTCACTTTACATGGGCACGCTGGATGGCCACAAGCCTTAGGCTTTACGAGACAGAGTAGCGCCGATAAGCAAGAGACGACAACATGTACAAGGGGGGGGGGGTGTGTCATCGTGATGTTGGCTGAAATTCATGGTGAAAAGCCTAGTATTAGGCCATATAAAGTAGATGGTAAGGTAGGGTTGACCAGTTAAAATTATTGTATATTATTGGAAAAAATATTCTTTAAGTTGCCATAGTTGTTCTTTTAAGACTAATTGTGATTTTATTTATAATAATTCCTCATCATAAGCTGCTAAGGAAACTCGTTAATTTTTAGAACAAAAACGAATTTCTGATAAAATTTGATGACGTGGCGACCTCTGAGCCCTTATCTTGATTCTATAGAAAACCTTTTATGGTATATAGGCACGTTAATAAGGGTCTTAATTTCGAGTGGAATTTGAACGGAATAATGAGTCAACTATCGGTCCTCCGGCAGGAACTGAACCTACGCTTTTGCGATGCCGGTGCAATGCTCTTGCCATTGAGTTACAGAGGTAGCTGACAAGAGCAAGCGTGGTTAATGTGTATACCGCTAGGAATATATAGGTGAGGGAAATCAATTATAATTTTTGAAGTGGGTATAATCCCATTTGAAATCAAGACCCTTTAAACCTCAAGAATTTACCTACATCGAATGAAGTAACAAAAATGATAATTGATAGTACGGCAATAATTTAGATCTTTCATCTTTGAAATGCCATTCAAACAACTTCTAAAGATGGTGTGAAATCTTAAGAAATTGAAAGACTCTGGACAAACTATGATATTAATGTTGAGAAGAAACGCGAACATATATATCTGGGAATGGAAAAAATGAATGGAATAAATTCAAACACCATATTTGGACTTTCGTATAATTTGTCCAACCATCAACCATAGAAACTATAGAAATACATGCATGCAAAATCCCTCGCTATTTCAAACCAAATACCCAATTTCCTAAGCTAACCGGACCTAAACTTATATTATGAAATGACTCAAAACTCAAATCAGTCTATATATTTAATTTTATTATGTAGGTATATTATAGCTTATATAATGTTCATCATTCGGTACAAAAATAATCATAAAGCTATAGTGTAAACATTCCCATGCATTGGCCGTTCAATTTTTGCATTTAATATATGCCATAGCTGCAATTAAATGATGGTTTAAAATTGAAGCTTCAAACGATTAAAACAGTACAAAATCTTCATACACAAAGAAAAAACCTCAAATGTTATTTTATTCTGCCGATGTGATTTGCAGTCGACGGCTGAAAGTTTTATAGTGCATGTGTAGTGATATCTGTCAGGTCAAAATTCAAATTACACTTTCAAAAACACTTTTTGAAGTTGATCGATGGTGTAATAGTCACACTGGTCACGGGTTTAAAATCAAAATATTCTGAGCCAAGCGCTTATAACGAAGGGACAGTATAAGATTGCGTAAGTAAGTTAAATTCAGCAACCAGCCTAGATACGAAGTTTATCGTTCTTTGACCTACAGAGGTGAAATATTCAATAAATTCATCAGCTACCACTTGATCATTTTTAGTAAGGTATGAGGTATTTGATGTTGAACGTGCTGTAGGAGTACAATTGCAGATAACTTTCCATATCCATGACCAGATTTGCCTTTTCATTGTTTAATCTTGCTATGGACCAAATCAAATTCAGCCGCTTTCAGCGTGTTTTCACTTCACTTCTCTTCTCTTGACTTGAGCAGAAATCCAATCGCAATCAAGTTTGTTATTCCCGGCTTTTTTCAGCAGTTTATCACAGGTTTTCATTGCCTCTTTTATGGCTGGTGTAATCCAAGGATTTCTTTTGTACTTTAACTTCATTTCGCTGATCGGAGCATGGCGTTCAACCACTTCCCCAACGAAAGTATTGAAAACATCGACCTTCTCATTTACGTCATCAACCTTATTTTAAAATAGTCACGAAATCATAATTGAAACCTCTCTATAAAAGTCCACAGGATTCTAATATTTATAGTTTCGGGTTTTAATTAAAAGTTATACTCTGCGGTCTTGGCTTCTTGAAATTCAAGGTTATATACTATTACAGGAAAGTGGTCGCTAATGGAAGTGCATATAACGTATATCACTCTGAATGACTAAATCTTGCGAGGTGGTTAAAATCACATCCAGCAAAGTACATGAATTGGCCGTTACTCTAGTGGGTTGATAAATTAATTGCGCCAAGTTAAAGGTATTGAAAAATTCTTTAAGATACTTAGATAAATAGATAGATTTAATAAATTTAAAAATTACAGCCAGAAGCTGAATTATTTAAAAATTTTACAAAACAGTAGTGGTGTAATTATTAAAATTCTAAAATAGCATGAGCTAAAATGGTCTGCCGGATTATTTGAATTACTATATAATAATGAAGCTATTCTTCAGTCTATTTGTTTTACAAATTGGAACCCTAAACTTTATTTCTGATGTTTACAGCAGTTTCATGCATGACGATCAGGGAGAAGATAATGTAATTTATGGTTGGGGTCCAGCAGATTTCGTGAAACAGTTTAGTTGTTAGATGCTTTCTGCTATCCTGCAATGAAGATAAGCCACAGATTTCCAATGCCTCGGTATAGGTGGTAAAGGGGGAAATAATTCTCAGTGCTCATTTCTTCAACCTTTCTAGATCATCAGAGAGGTAATAAGAGAGGGTATCGTGAAAAATCGGGCTAACGTACTCGATAATAATGCAAGCGGTATAGAATATTATAGGAGGTCTTTGTGGCCCAGCAGTTTAACACTTGATACAACATCAATTGATTTGTTACTGACCAGGACCGACGGGAATTCAGTGTTGCTCTTTGCGAAGTTCTTTACATTTGGTTTCGTTAAGCTGAAAGTTATTTTGGCTGGCTTCTTCCTCTACAGATTCTTGGATTTTACTTGTGACATGGTGGTGTCATCTACATAATATTTCCACAAATCGTTGGTACTGGAGTGTTAGTACATGTTATGTGTTCAACTCGCCTTCGGCTCGTGTTTCGCGCGCTTTTCTTAACTCTCGCAGCATATTTATTTTTATTTTATTTTATTTTACAAGATTCGCCAAACATAACGGACAAATTTAGTACAGACACATTTACACACAACACTAGCAGGGACTGACCACAGAGGTAATCTCCAATAACGGGGTCCCATGTACAAAGTCACAATTGTAAAACAAGAATAACTGAAATATTTAACATTACGAACGAGCTTAAAACGAAATTCTTGCATTGATTATCAACAGCATGACCTCTCTGACAGACTTAGAAGAGGCCGAGTTGTGTGGCACTTAACGCACACTGATTTGAATGTTTTTGGATTGTCCGGATCGTAAACATATTCTAGAAGATTCAAGTAATACTTCATTGAAGAGTTTTTGAAGTATGCTAATGATCTTGAAGTGTCACGAATATCACTTGGGAAAATGTTCCAAACGCTCGGTGCTCTCACGTAAAAAGTATTCTTGTAGCTAACCGTTTTGCATCTGGATATGCTGAGAAGAACGCCGCTATTGTTAGAGTCAGCTTTTCTTGTGTTTCGGACAATCTTTTTTATACGTACGTTGACATCTTTGCTTATAATACATCTGAATAGGTGAACCAAGTCCAAATATTCGTGCCAGTAGCAGAGAGGAAGAATGCCAATAGCACGTAATCGTTCCTTGTATGTAGTGATGGTTCTGTAGTGGAGGGATAGAATAAATTTCGTCGCTCGGCGTTGGACTCGTTCTATTGTCAGTATGTTGGATACAGTTTGTGGTGCCCACACCTGACTGGCATAACCTAGCTTGCTGCGAACTAGCGAGAGGTACAAGACCTTTCGTACACGAGTGTCATGCGTCACCGACGCTGTTCGCCGAATAAAACCGAGCATCGAGTTTGCTTTTAGTGTCATTTGTTCAATCTGTTTCTTCCACTTAAGATCTTTCGTGACAATAATCCCGAGGTCTTTTTGATAAAATAATTGCTTTAAGGGATTTTCCAAAAGTTTATATTCTGTTGCGATTGGTTGATGGCTTCTTGTGATGCTCATGATGCTCATGATGCTAACTATGATAGCTACAGTGCAGTTGCTATGATATGATGCAATAACTTGAATATTAAATATTCAACGATATTTTATTCGAACTAAGTAGCGTCGTCAGCATCAATAAGTATGCATGAGGGTATCTTACTGAGAACTAAAACAATCTTAGAACTCATACGCCGCTACATTTAACCGCGACAACTTCCAGATAAGTAATATTTATTTAGGCTATAATTTAAAAATCATTAGTTTTATAATGGTCTTTCGCGGCTTATTTACTTGTTATCTTGTGTGTATTCTTGTCACTCTGAATTTAGTCCATGTAATAAACAGAACATTACACGGTTCGCTCGAAGATATGGATTTTATTTTCTCGTGTCAAAAGAAAAAAAAAGACTGCTGTTTTGAATACGAAATTCGACAAAAAAGTGCAGTACGCCTAATAAACGACATAGTTTCCATAGCAACGCTCATAGTGTTTTTGTATGTATATAGTCAGGCGAAACCTTCCAAAATATCCTGAAACTGATCTATTGGGTGTACAAAATATTGTAGACGTCAGGCAAGACTGTGTTTTGTCCGAAAAGCACAAAGCAAACGCTAAAAAGCGCTACAATTACGACATTATCAATCACCGGCTAATAATAATATAATCTTATTTACCAATCGATAATTTCTGTTTACAAATGATAAATTAAGAGTTTATTTGATACTGATAGTATGATTGACAACCTTTTCATAGACCTATCTATACCTTAGAATTACCACTCAAGCACTGAAACCCGCACACTCGCCGAATAAAATTATCAAATCAAATTTCTACATAGTATTATGTAATGGTCATCGATCCTGCATGTTTCCATATTTATTAATATTATATGTCGTTTAAGCGTGTGCGTGTAAATCCGATAATTAATTTATCAAATCGATCGATATCAAACAAGAATTCTAGATTGTCCACTTTTATTTGTTTAAAACGTTTTTTATTTACCTCGTGCCGTGGCTGATGACATGATCTGTCGGCAAAAAATGTGAATATATTGTCATTCTTACCTTCTACATAATTGTCGTAACCAGAGTCCGCGATCCTTCAGCGGAAGAAGTCGGGGGTCAAGGGGGGACATTGAACAAAGAGCTATATTAAAATTCCAGTTGAAACCGAAAAAATGGCGGATTTCGGGCTTTGAGACACTGTAAGCAAGGGATAAAGACAGTCTAAATTGCAGATTGTGTAATATAATTTCCTTGGGAAAATCACCACCATCTCAGCTACAATCGTCTAAAATCGCTACAACGAAGATTGTTACAAGAGCCCGAGCTATTGACAGAGTACGACCAGATCATCAAAGATCAACTAAAATTCAGCTGGCATAATCGAGATGGTTCCTCGGCAAGAAGCGGTACAGTTGCAAGGGGTTCATTATATGCCTCACCATGGTGTTGTTCGTAAGGACAAGGAAACCACAAAGCTCAGGGTGGTGTACGATGGGTCCGCGTCCCCTGTTGCCGAAGAACCATCAATTAATTATTGTTAATTACATCCTGGACCTAACCTCATACCAAAGCTGGTTGATGTATTGGTAAAATTTCGAAGTCATCCCGTCGCCTTAGTAGCAGATATCGAAAAGGCATTTCTTATGATTAGTGTCAATTAGATTGATCGAGATATGCTGCGGTTCATTTGGTTTGAAGAATGAAGAACCACCCAATTTGAACAGTAAAATCCTTCATCTCAGATTTACGAGATTGGTGTTTGGATTGCGTCCATCACCTGCGATTCTGAATTCAACTATCCGTCAGCACTTGAGTACTTACAAGAGCATTTATCCAGACATTGTAAAACTCATCGAAAAGTCCCTTTACGTAGACGATTTAATTTCTGGGGCCGAAAGCAACGATAGGGCATTTGACGTGTATCAAACAATCAAGAAAGTAATGGCGGCTGGAGGCTTTACCCTGAGAAAGTGGCAATCGAATTCAGAAGCATTAATGAGAAATATTGACGAAGCAGAGTCGGAGATTAATCGTGAAGCTAATAAAAATCAAGCCATACCCGGAACGATTCAAGAAGAAGATGAGACTTATACCAAATCTGTAGTAGGACCCGGTAATAGTTCGAATGCTGATAAATTCGTGAAATTGCTTGGACTAGGCTGGAACTGTGCGTCCGACGAGCTGTTTTTTCATTCATTCATCCGATTTCATTGAACTTGCTAATGCCCTGCCTGTGACTACTGACTAAACGATCCTTGCTAAGACTGACGGCAAAAAAGTTGAAACACTTATTTCAAGTTGTCAAAATATGTCAAGACAAGAAAGATTGGGACGAGCCGCTTCAAAATAAAATGCTCGAGGAATGGAACTTGATTGTGAACGCACTGTCATCATAGAGTCATGTTAGAATTCCGAGATGTTACTCTATTTCACACGTGCGTCCTTCTTCTCTATTTCACACGTTGCATACCTTTAGTAGTGTACATGAGATAAGTGTATGACGATGGACAGGTACAAGTGAGACTAGTTGCTTCAAAATCGAGGGTATAGCGGTATTAAAGAAACAGACAATTCCTCGTCTAGAATTACTTGGTGCAGTAATTCTTGCTCGACTAGTGAACAAAGTGATCAACAACGAATCGTTGCCATACGAAGTAACAATCACCTATTGGGTTGACTCGATGACCGTCCTGTATTGGATTAAGAACGAAAAAGTGTGGAAACAATAGGTTAATCATCGTGTTAGCGAGATTAGGCAACTAACAAATAGGGAGCCGATTGGAGATTCTGTCCTGGTACCTAAAATCCTGCAGACTGGTAGCTACGCGGGGTTTGCCTCGTAAGGACGTCAGCACTGTATCGCGAACTGACATTGCCAATCGCGAGGTTATCGATTGCAATTCGTACGGCAGTTTAACTCGTCTTTTCGAGTCACCGCATACGTTTTAAGTTTTTACGCAATCTAAAACACAAGACTAGAGGAGCTAGTCAAGCGTATGTAGATGTGAGCGGCAAGGAGTAGGAGCGACGGAGTTAGACGAAGCTGAATCTATACGGTTAAAGACGGCACAAGCGGCGTCGTTAAAAAATGAAATGCAATATATGACTGGTCATTAGCGATCCTCTCTTCCAGCATTAGTGCCTTAGTTTGGGTTATTCCTCGATAAAACAGGAATCATTCGTTGTAAGGGCAGAGTAAATGAGACGACGCTTCCTGAATCAACAGAGAATCCAATCCTTCTTCCGTCAAGGCACCGTGTTACTGAATTGATTATACGAGAAACCATGACCGAATAAAACATAGTGGGTTATAGGTGAGATTAATGTTGAAATGAGCCTAATGAGTCAATGAGTTATGAGTCAATGAATTATGAGTCAAAAAATTTTGCTGCATTTTCCTAACCACAGTTTTGTAACTGCGGATAAAGATTTCGCCTGATTTGCATAAAATTCACCTTCGAATTTCTCGGCTACATTTTACATTATGGCCAATTTTTTTGAAATGGATAACCAGGCTGTTTTAATGGTCAAATGCTTGTCCTATGTAAAGTTTCCAGCATGTTTGGGTTCATAACAAACATTAAACAATATAACCATGCTTTGGTTTTCATGTCAAATTTTTTGAAATGAATAACCACGATGTTTTAATAGTCAAATGCTTGTCCTTATGTACAGTTTCCACCATGTGTGGCGCTCATATACAAACATTAAACAATATAACCATGCTTTGGTTATGATGTCAAATTTTTTGAAATCGACAACCACGCTGTTTTAATGGTCAAATGCTTGTCCTATGTAAAGTTTCCAGCATGTTTGGCGTTCATAACAAACATTAAACAATATAACCATGCTTTGGTTATGATGTCAAATTTTTTGAAATGGATAACCACGCTGTTTTAATGGTCAAATGCTTGTCCTATGTAAAGTTTCCACCATGTGTGGCGCTCATATACAAACATTAAACAATATAACCATGCTTTGGTTATGATGTCAATTTTTTTGAAATGGATAACCATGCTGTTTTGATGGTCAAATGCTTGTCCTATGTAAAGTGTCCAGCATGTTTGGCGTTCATAACAAACATTAAACAATATAACCATGCTTTGGTTTTGATGTCAAATTTTTTGAATAGAATAACCACGATGTCGGTTTTAATGGTCAAATGCTTGTCCTAGGTAAAGTTTCCAGCATGTTTGGCGTTCATAACAAACATTAAACAATATAACCATGCTTTGGTTATGATGTCAAATTTTTTGAAATGGATAACCACGCTGTTTTAATGGTCAAATGCTTGTCCTTATGTAAAGTTTCCACCATGTGTGGCGCTCATATACAAACATTAAACAATATAACCATGCTTTGGTTATGATGTCAATTTTTTTGGAGTGGATAACCACGCTGTTTTAATGGTCAAATGCTTGTCCTATGTAAAGTGTCCAGCATGTTTGGCGTTCATAAAAAACGTTAAACAATATAACCCTGCTTTGGTTATGATGTGAAATTTTTTGAAATGGATAACCATTTAACCACGCTGTTCTGTTTTAATGGTCAAATGCTTTTCCTTATGTAAAGTTTCCAGCATGTTTGGCGTTCATAACAAACATTAAACAATATAACCATGCTTTGGTTATGATGTCAAATTTTTTGAAATGGATAACCACGCTGTTTTAATGGTCAAATGCTTGTCCTTATGTAAAGTTTCCACCATGTGTGGCGCTCATATACAAACATTAAACAATATAACCATGCTTTGGTTATGATGTCAATTTTTTTGAAATGGATAACCATGCTGTTTTGATGGTCAAATGCTTGTCCTATGTAAAGTGTCCAGCATGTTTGGCGTTCATAAAAAACATTAAACAATATAACCATGCTTTGGTTATGATGTCAAATTTTTTGAAATGGATAACCACGTTGTTTTAATGGTCAAATGCTTGTCCTATGTAAAGTTTCCACCATGTTTGGCGTTCATAAGAAACATTAAACAATATAACCATGCTTTGGTTATATATGATGTCAATTTTTTTGAAATGGATAACCACGCTGTTTTAATGGTCAAATGCTTGTCCTATGTAAAGTTTGCAGCATGTTTGGCGTTCATAACAAACATTAAACAATATAACCATGCTTAGGTTATGATGTCAAATATTTTGAAATGGATAACCACGCTGTTTTAATGGTCAAATGCTTGTCCAATGTAAAGTTTCCAGCATGTTTGGCGCTCATATACAAACATTAAACAATATAACCATGCTTTGGTTATGATGTCAAATATTTTGAAATGGATAACCACGCTGTTTTAATGGTCAAATGCTTGCCCCATGTAAAGTTTCCAGCGTTTTAGCACTTGTATTGCTTGTAAATTTGAGCGAACTAAAAAATATTCGAAATTAAAGGCTGATTACGGAAAAATTATTGGTGGGGCTAAAGCCCAGAGAGCCACCCTGCTCCGCGGTCCCTGTATTCGTTTGATAAGTACTATACATCATTCGTGTCCGTGTTGTATCAGAGATAAAAACACTCGCCTTCGGCTCGGGTTTGTATATCTACTGATACAACACGGTCGTTCATGTTATATATATGGTACTTATTAAACAGTTATCTAGGAGGGCATTTATGGCATTATGAAATTCGGGGATCAAAATAAAAATGTGATGCATGGGATAAGCAGATCTTCACTAACGTTCAATTTATTAACTGATATACAAGTTCGGACGGGTTTTAAACACATGCAGCTATCACGTCAGGATTCAAGATCAAAGTTGTAAATATTCATATAAACCAATTTCAAATGTTCACAAAAAGTTCATGGAAACTGTCAAAAAATATCGGAATCAGTCGCAAATGTTCAAAAGCGACTTACTGCGGTGACTGCATTGTCCTACCTTGCATGTACATACGAACCCTTGAAGTACTATTGTATTGAATACTGGATAATTATTGAAGGATACTTCTAGCCAGACCAATGCAAATAAAGTTCATACAGACAATGAAAAGTTCACAAATCTGTAATATAATATAAATCTTAAGGGTGGTTTGCAACACCGTACCGGTAACGTACTAACCAACTGAAAATATGAAAATAACAACGTAAATTCGTAAACCATAAGTTCGAAAAATCCAGCTGACTTGAGCTGACTCATAACTCATCGACTCACAACTCATAGACTCATTTGACTCACAAAACAGGCGTTCTCGTTATAGGTCACTCTTGCAACGATACGCGAAAGATATTGAATTCTTCGAGGAAGAGAAGCGGCAAAGAAGTATATTCGACACTGCATGCGTAGTTAGCCGTAAGATTGAAGGCAAGTATTACAACCTAGCTGCTGTTCCTGACCAACCGAGTTTTCGCGTATCAGAAGATCCACCGTTTTCTCATACGGGATTGGATTTTGCTGGTCCTCTTTACATCAAACCAATGAGACGATCGAAGAATGAGGAAACATCGAAGGTGTATATTATACTATTGATGACTTGCGCTTCAACGCGAGCTATAGATCTGACCTATGTGCATGACGATACTGACTTGGTATCATATGCTCTTACACCCTAACTGGTCGACGTTTTGAGCACTAACATTTACCTAACGCAAGCTTATTTTTTGTTAATTTTACTGAAGCCCAGAGTTAACGCTAACTGGGCTTTGTGCAACGCAAATCAACCGAGGTTTAAAATTTAACCCTGGGTTAAGCACTTTTAACCCTGGATTAGCGTTAAACGGCTTTTGAACAACCTGCCACAGAGCCACAAATAACCCAAATTACCGTAATCAACTTTAGTTCATAATACCGCTTTCTATATCAAGTACCCAGGCCTGTGGTATTCAAATATATCCGTGTTACGAAGTTACTTCGGGCGCTCTGAAAGGACGCCCGCGATGTAATCAGACCTGAGTCAGACCCTGGTAAGCTACCTCGCCCAAATTTCAATACAAAAGTATAGAGAAAACGCTGTCGAAAGGTGAAAAATTGATTTTTTCTTGAACTGGATCGCATTATCTTTTATATATTATCTATCTGAAGATTAACGGTAAGTTGTTTGTTTTCATTGGGTTTAAGTGTTCGTGTTGTTTATATTAATATTAAAATCTCGTTTTGCATAAAAGTGCGATCTGATTTGCCTTGTCGACTGCCATATTTGACCCGAATTGTCCGGCAAATTGTGTTTGCCAAAGTGAAACGTTGTCAGAGCTGCTTTTTTATTGCGTATCAACTAGCAGGCAGGGCGTTTGCATATATGTAGAATAACAAAATAGGACGAATTTCAAAGACTGATACTTCTAAATTCGCGTTACAATTTTAAAAACGACAAACTGATACATTGGAAAACATTTCGAGTTTTTGGCGTTATATAGCTTTAACTCGCTGAGGATATTAGTTTTTTAATACTTAGTACCATTTGATGATACAAACATTCAGTGAAAACATTCATAATTATGTATCTTTACTTCTCAAGCAGAGTTACTGTTCGATTACATACTTTTTAAGTCATTTTTCAAATTTTTTGATCAAATTTTCACCAAGCATATTATTATCCCTGGGCTTTCTAAAGAAAAAATATTTTGGCCCTTACATTACACTGGAAATAACGAACATTTAAATTGCATTTTTACTGGGAAAAATTCCATTTTTCCTTATTGGTCATTCTCTCCTCCGTACTGCAACCAAGTTACTGCTCCATTAATATATAGAGCTCACTGGGTCCACCTGCCATGCAGGCAACTCAGCCTTACCCGCCTTACCTAACCTTCGGACGCGAGAACTAGCCAATCAGAGCGAATCATTTTATTTATCAAATTTGAATTTTGAAATGAAATATTTTTAACCGAAGAGCACTTCATCCTAGCATTTTTGCGAAATATTTCATTTATACAGAAGGGTTTTTGCTTGTTTCACAGCTATGACGCATTTAGTGGAAATAGGGGAAAGTATAGTTGAAAATATTGGCGATGAGGATAATAATTTTACCGAAATACGAAAGAAACTTTTAAACGATTTTGATACGGCGGAGACAGTTCGTAAAGTGTTAAAAAGCTCGAAGACTGGCAATTCTAAAGAGCCTATAAAAGTATACCTACGAATTAAACCTTTAACTGGCGATGAAATCGAAGCTGGTGAGTCACAAGGCTGTTTAGAAATGGAGAATATGCGTACTGTTGCTTTGCATCCGCCGAAGACATCCTTCACATTCAAACATCAGTCACGAAATGCAATCACTTCTGAGACTATTCAACGCTTTACTTTTTCACGAGTCTTTGGACCTGAGACAGGCCAAAAACGATTCTTTGAAGACACTTCTTTAGATGTTGTCAGGGATTTCATAAATGGCCATAATTGTTTAGTGTTCAGTTACGGAATTACGAATGCTGGAAAGGTATGTATATATTATAATAACAATATAGTAACTCATAAAAATGTGTTGAAGCAACTAAACTTTACCTTTGCGATAAAAGGTTATTCATTTGGCTCTTGGGGTTAGCTGCTAGAAAAGAGGTGTTTAGGATTGAAATATTGAGAAATTCTTTTGCATATATTTATGAACATTTGATGAAATTATAAAAATAGGAATGTTCATAATTATACTTGCATGATATATATTATTACATTATACTGATATACTGAAAATATCAGTGTTAAATCAATATTGGTATATTAATTGATACTGAATATATTCAGCCATACCACATCATTTAAAATTATGATTAATAATGCCAGTGTCAGTATTCATGCAGTTTCAGTGTCCGCTAGCTAATTGTCTTATGTATGTTGGGTGTATATATGGCCATAACCTAATATTTTAGTAATTAATGGCAATTCAAAGAAGTGTTGGTGTTTTATGAAACTTCTAAAATGTACATTCCAAAAACGTGCACATGCATGCAGGAACCTGCACAAGCATGTATTCAGCATATGGCAATATTTTGTAAAGGCTTTTGGGTTAAGTTTAAACTTATTAATTATATTAATATACTATTATATTATTGCTACTCTGGTTTAGAGACTAGAGTATATTGTCCTCATCAGGGGTGATTTAATGTGGAAACATTGGTCAATCAAATGTAAATCTGCCAATCAAATGTAAATATTATATGTTCCCTAAATATAAGGATATGAAGTTACTTGCCAAAAGAATATTTACATTTGATTGCTAGATGATATGTCATATGTGGACAGCTATATAGGATCAATGAACATTTTCAACATCAGATCACATGCCACTGATTAAGACATACCAGTGTGTCAAATAAATGGTGAATACTTTCATTATTCAAACCTGAGTGACAATAATTGTGAAGGATTATCCGATTATATAGCTGATTAATTGCCATGAACCTATATTAATTAACTTCAATTCATATTGCGCATAAAAAATTTATATTGTTTAGACTTATACCATCTTGGGCAACCAGCAAAATGTAGGGATTCTGCCAAGAACATTTAAAATCCTTTTCAAGAGTTTTAAAGACCAAAATTATGAGCATTCCAATCTGAAACCAAAAATGTTTTGTGATGTTGTCAAGCTAAGCAGTTTGCAGGAGGAGAATGAGGAAAGCAAGAAAAAGAACTTACTTTTGTTAGGTGATGTTCCTGTGAGTAAAATTTATCTATACACAGTCAAGCTAATTCTCATTTTGTTCACCTTTAATTGTTAGCTGTTTTCTTTATTTACAGATGAAACTCTGCAGATGCAATTGCAATATAAAAAATATGACATATACCTGCATTGAAATTCAACTATATATGCAACTTTATTTTTCATTCGTTAAGACATATCACCAGAGTATTAGCACAAGTGATCTTTCATTGCAAGACAGTGTGGAAGAACAACATAGTGGGGGTAGGTTTGTGTATTTGTTGCACTGAGGTGAAAAATTATGTTTTGGTTCAGTTAAAAGTCAATAATTGAAAATGCAATGATAGATAAATTTCTAAAATTTGTTTATGTATAGATACTATTGATGTTTCCTCATTATTGGATGTAACAAGTATTCCTATTGAAGACCAAGGCCCAATTCAGTTTTCTGTTTGGATTTCATTTGCTGAGATTTATAATGAGTATATTTATGATCTTCTTGAACCAATCTCTATGAATAAAGAAACAAGAAGGAGAACACCCTTAAAAGTTGGAGATGACAGAGAAGGCAATCCCTATATCAAAGGTATATGCATCATGCACGCTTGGAATATATATGTTGACTTTGTCTTTTATATCTTAATTATTTAATCTTAATTATATAGGCTCAAAGACCAAATAGACCATTAGACCATTAATTAATTCATGCTCTTTAATAACTAATTCCTTTTTGTCATGACAGGTCTAACAGAGATTCATGTGAATAATGCAGAAGAGGCCTACAAGGTACATTATTCTAAATTTTTTCAGTACCTGGTATGGATCGAGTTACTGTATAGAGGCTGCATGCATGATTACATCAGGGAGTTTCAATTCCAAGGTTAAATTAAGTCAGTCAGCTTGTCTGCTGCTGTTTAATTGAATTTTAACTTCGCTTGATCTACTGTTATTACAAAAACCTTGCTCAAAAAACCACAGACTTCTATTTGCACAAGTGCTGACAAAATATATATAATATGTAGCTATACCAGCAAAAACGTCATGCAGTGTCAGGCCCGCCTTCACACTGTATGGGATTGCCATTATATATAGTACCCAATTGTTATATATACTTTAATGTACTGGATAGGTGAATTAAATGACTAATTCTAAAATTAACTGTGACATATGGTCTAATTAAGCAGAACTATAACTATATATCACATTTTCACCGACATTTTCGAACAAACATACTTTTTAAACATACATTCATCGGCATAGCCCTGATTTTTTCCACACAAACTTTGCCCCTCCCCCTCCCTCCTAGGGAACCGTCATGGTTCTAGCAATCACTGAACTAACAGTGCATTTATAATTTTTTATAAAAGCTGTTGAAAATTGGAAGGAAAAATCAAAAGATTGCATCAACCAAACTGAACCAAAATTCAAGTAGAAGGTACATTTTTAAAGTGCATGATTAAACTTAAAACCTTTCTAACAATATCCCAGCCGGAAATATTACTATTTGGAAGGTTAACCCTACCAATAATCCATTGGCGAGTTGCATATTATTGTACAATGATGCATATATTCTTTTCTGCTAGACGCTCTTGTTTAAAACGCATGCATACACAGCTTGCAAAGGAAATCAATCCGGTTAGAACAAATATATGAATGTCACATAGCTAGTTTTGCCCGCTGTGGATCGGTGGGGATGGAGACGGTAACGCGGCAAGCGACGACGTTTGCGGTTGGTTGCGAACGTGCTAACTCCATTTAATCTTCTTTATACTGTCATTTCCAGCAATGCGTACCTCGACCAATGTATGGAACCTAAACGGTACCATCTCCATCCCGTGATTAGACTGTCACACGGAATCACGAATGTGAAAACCGTGGAAAGGAGAAAAAATACATACAATGCATACATAGGAAAATAACTAGACAGGAAAATAACAATACCCCTGGCCCTTGAGACTTCCAAAAGACCAACTGAATCTAGAGAATTAATTAAGCTAAACTAAAAAGCAACAACATGCAGCTGGACCATTCCCTGGGGGGAATATCTGGGGAGGAAGGTGGGGCGAACAAACCGATAATAAGCAAATAAACGACATGGCGAGTCGTATAAATACTAAACCCCGGGGAAAATACCCCTGCGCCGAATTATTAAAAGTAATATTAATATCCTTTATTATACTAATAAATACATTTAAATAACGTGACGTGTTTGGAAAGTTTTTAAAGCGTCACTTGTTACTTGAAATCCTGAAAATATTAAAATAAATATATAATAATACATCTATTGTATATAAATACTTTGGCAGGCACACACTTAGTAAAATATTGGAAGTTAGAAGACAATTAGGCACACGAAATGCCTGGCTATATGCTCAGTGTACCCCAAACGTACAGTGAATGTGTGTCTAGAACTGCATGGCAAGCGCAACTGCCCGTGCATGCAGACAAAATTTAAGCACGCCTGCAAAGTGAAGTGTTCAATTACCGTGCCTGCATGCATGAGGCGAAAAATTGTTTTTTAGTCTGATTACAAAAATTTTATTATTTTACTGGTTTTCGACTGTCAGTCTACATGCAGACTTCAACGAGTGGAGAAAATGGAAGTGTTACAAAATACGGGGTTTACAATATTACAAAGCAAAAAACTATAATCTGTTGTCGAATATACATTTTGACAAACGTAAAGAAATATCTAAACAATTTTATTGCGATTGAAATAAAACAATGTTTCACCCAAAATGAAGCCATAACAACTCGCTGCCATTTTGAAAAATCCGCTTAGGTGATTTAGTCGGGATGGACAGTCGTTGCTCCGTAATTTTCCCGTAGCTGACGTACGTCATACGTAAAACCAATAATCTGCATAATCTCTTTCAATAAACAACTGCATGCCCCACACAGTATTTATACAATGTACATAAATTGTGGGACACGTACGTTTCGCTAGTAAACATGCGCGTGATATAAAGCGCGTGTGTGGTGGTAACACATTCATTAATTGGCTTTCCTACTGTATAGTCTAAGCGGGCGTCTTGTTATACTAAAACCTGAAATCTCAATAATGCAATATTTTCGGTCTTTTTAGCCACTGCATTTTTACATTGAAAATTCTACGCGTTTTCCATACTAAGGAGCCACGTGTTGCAAGAGTCAGCAGGTAGACTTCGATGTTCTCTAAACTGGTGTTTGAAATATGTGTGATTTTAACGGAAGTCCTGAGGAGATATCATATTTACTTGTCTATATTGCAGGCTATCCTTCGTAGACTTGGCTGGCTCTGAAAGATACACCAAAACCCAAAACACCGGTGCCCGTCTGAAGGAAGCTGGTAATATCAATACCTCGATTATGACCCTTGGGAAATGTGTCGAACTACTGCGGTACAACCAGAACCATGTGTAAGTTAGAGAAATTTAGCAAACACAACGTGAGGCTTAGCCTTAGGACGTCGCGAAAATGGCGTGGGTGTGGTGTGATATCTCAATCAAAAGAGTAATAGATAAATGGCCTTCGTCACTTAATTATTTTGTATGAATGACCCAAGTTCTTCCCCCAAAATGTCAAAAATTTTAAAACTTTTAGCCCGTTGGATTCAATCAGGAAACAAGCGTTGAATTCGATCAGCGATCAAGCAAAACTACTTTTAGGCACCAACCCCCCGCATCACACGTCGATTCGAAAAGTACAGGCGTTACATTGTCCTATATATAATCGCCCTGCTGTTTACACTTGTGATATTTGTTGCGATTTTATGTGCGGTTTTCTTCTTTTGTTATAAATGCTCTGAGATTTTAGAGCTATTATTGGAACATCCGTAACTCATTCACATCTATCAAAAATAGAAATTCGCACATAAACGGGACCAAAAATGTTAACGAGCAAGTGTAATTGAACCTAATGCGAAGCTGATATTTTATCCGTGGAGATGTTCGTTGAAAAAATTGTGTTCAGGTCGTCGAAGCAGAAGAAGTTGTATATTAGAGTTTTATTTTAATCCAATTAACCTCATGCAGCTATTGTATTTATGACAGAAATAATCAGAAGAACATCCCATTCCGTGAGAGCAAATTGACGCGCCTGTTCCAAGGATTTTTTTGCGGAAAGGGAAAAGCGTCTATGATCGTCAATGTTAACCAATGTGCTTCTGCGTTCGATGAGACTCTTCATGCGCTGAAGTTTTCTGCAATAGCCAAGAAGGTAATATTAGTGATCTGAAAATACCGAAAATATTCTGATTTAGAGTGGGTTTGTAAGGCTACAAACTTGGGTATCTGTTCAAATTTTAGAGTGTATTAGTACTTAGTACCCATGCAATTATAATTTCTTTGCAGTGTTCGATTTTATATTGTTCCACTTAAAGAATAATGCTTCAGGATCGTGTTAAATTATAGCATTCAACCGAATTTTATATTTAGGTGACGACGATAGCTCACGGCCCGCAGCAGCCCGTAGAAATCCACAATCGTCCTCTACAGGTATCTGCGCGATCTAATCGGTCTTCTGTAGCTTGGGCCGACGGGTCTGTTTCCACTCCAGTTGGTAATAAAGTTAACTTGCAAACAGATGACAACGATGCAACGGTATCAGAAGAAGATACTGCCAATATTACCCCTCTTGCGGGAAGCAAGGTAAGGCGAAAAGTGTCTGAAAGGACGGCTTTCAGTGACACAAATTCACCTCATTGAATCATAGGTAATAAAATAAATGAATAGAAAACTAAACTAACGTAAGAATGAGAAAGCAATTCTGGATGGTAGCATCCTGATGTAACACAAGGATAACGTTTAGGTATAATTCGTAATATCACAATAGACCTTTTTCATAATGACGTCAAACGCGGAAAGTCTGATGTTACACGAAGTTTGATTGGCTCGATAGTTTTGTGGAGCCAACTAAATTTCGTTTAACATCAGACTTTTCGCGTCTGACGTCATTATAAGAAAGGTCTATTGGGTATTGCGAATTTGTAGAATGGCGTAGTTATAATCTTTTGTTCTTTGGCATAAACATTCAGCAACTGTATTATTGCTGAACGTGCAGTTGAAGATTTCACGGTACCATGATTTGCAACTTGGTTTTAACAACCTCTTCCCACACTGAAAGCATCCCACGTACGCAACGACCACTCACTTATCCATTCACTTATCATTGATACAGTAAATCTTGGGTAACAAATATTTATAATCATGTTATGGCGAGTACAACTGAGGATCGAGATCAATTAAGAGTATTGTTTGCAAATTTTGCCAAAATTAGACGAGCTTTCATCACGAGTACTATTAATCCCCTCTATAAGTATGAGCGATATCCCATGATTTTTTTGTTTTAGTATGATAAAAACGTAAAATGTTGAAAGTGCTTCATGGAGATATTTTGAAACATAATTTTCATTACAATCATGATAGCAATTTCTCAAAATACAAGCCTACTATAGACTTTTATCCAATATTTTATGTTTTTGCAAGTATTTTAATTCGTTTACCTTTACGGTCATTTTTAATTCCCCGAGGCTGTATGCAATTAACTTTCTGCCATTTTTTCCATAACGTTCCACATCTACTCCATTACAATCAATGAAATAACTATAATCCTCTCCATATGCAGCATTCAACATCCAGTAATATTAATCTCTTTAACTTTCCTTCATTAAATATTTCTTCAGGATCTGGTGAAAGTAATTGCGGAGCTGGAAGTCCTTCTTAAGGAAGAAAGGAAGGAAAAACTAATGATGGAGATGAAGATACGGGAAGAAGTTTGCCAAGAGATGGCCGAACAATTGGTGGAAATTGAGAGAAATTACAAGTTAGTAATGGCTATGTATTTGTAGCTCACATAAAAGACATTATATTTCCCCGATTGGCAAAAATTACATTTCATATTGTTATAATTGTTGTATTAACCCCGCTCAGAAGATCAAATACGTAGACACTCGCTTTGAGAAGCCTACGGAACTGGAACAGCTACTAATTTACGCTTTACTAGTAGGGGCAAGAACGGGGTGACCGGTGGAAGACGTTTTTGCATTGAATAGATTCTACTGCTTTGAGAGAATTAGCTACGTAATGCAATCATCAGAACAGCAGCTAGTCAATGTTTTGTGAACACTATATTATGGAAGGCTTCCAAGACCCCCCCCCCCTTGTTTTTGCATCGTGCCTGGCTGCCTTTCACGTCCTCGTCGTAGATTTTATGCATCGTATGATGATATTAAGTTTTTTTTTTCTGCCTTAAGAATTAGGAAATATTGTTTGCGTAATTTTCACCAAGAAAAACCATTTAAGAGAAAAATTCCGCCGTACTCTTGGTTTTTAAAAAGCCATGGCCGGAATAAACGAACAAAAGTTAATCTGAACACAATTTCCTTTTGAGAAGACAATTTAAATAATCGTCGACAAATCTTTCCTGCAAATAGTGACACTTTGGTGCATGAAATTCAGATTTATATTAAACGTGAGTACCGTCCAAGTTTCGAAAAATTCTATAGCTTAATTCGAGACGGACGTGTTTGGAGGCTTGTGCACGTAATATTGCACTCTTCGCTGTGAGACTAGGGAACTTTAGCAGTGACTAGAGTACGACTACGTGTACAAGATTCGTCATTCGTAGTCGCCGAGCTTTTGAGTACGAAATTTATCAAAAAAACTCGTACTTGAAAGCTCGACGATTACGAGTTTTGGCTGATGGCGTAAGCAAACAACGTGCGATAATGACGAATCTCGCAGTCGTACTTGTAGTCACCGCTAAAGCTAAGCTCCCTACTTGCTCCACTGCAACGACACAATGTTTCCCTGTTTGTTTTGTAGTGAACGTATGGAAGAAGAGCAGCGAGCGACGGAAGAGTTGTATGAGAAGAGATTGGACATACTAAGTAAGTCTGTGAAGAAAGCAAGAAAACGTCCACGTTTTGACCTCGTGGAGGATGAAGATGATGAATGGGTGTCTTCTGTCGTTCTCCATCGAGAGGAAATGAAGAACAAGGTATTATTCCGTTAATTACACATTTTCTGTAATCATGCAGCTCGCATTGTGGTTACCTTTATAGTATAATATTGCGGGAAAAGGAATATTAAATGGCAATTCAAAATAGACAATGATATTATGTCTTAGTTATAAGTATTTTACTATCCATGTTATGCATGTGTGCCAAGTTGAAGAGTTGTTTTGCTTTTCTGTTGGCATCACGTCACATGAACTTTTGTCTATATACACGGGGAAAATAAACCAAAAAACTCCGTTGCTTATTCTGACTATCTCTTATAGTTTTTCTCAACAGATTTCTGCTAATTTTTTTGCTTTAATTTTTAAATTACAGCTTATTGATCAATAAAATTGGTATTAAAAAATTTTAAGTAAGAAATGTGAACATGGTGATTTGTTCCACCGTGGCTTAATAATTTTTTTCACAAAAACATTGCACCAAATATATATCGCCAAATTTTGCACAAATAAGAGGGAGAAAAATGAGATATATTTTGAAAACTTGAGACGAAATAGTTTGGAAAAAACTTAATTTTTACTTGAGTTTGTGCCGGCCTTTTCCATACTTCGCCGGCGAAAGCAGCCGAAAAGATTAATGAAAACATCACAAAAACGCCTCAATTGAAAGGCAAAATTTCCTAACCTGAAAACTATGATAACAACGATTAAACTAAGCTGAGAGGTATCGAAAAATATGTAAAACTAAGGCGAAAACCGGGATATAACTCGGCGAATAGCTTTGTACTGCAAAAAAAACACAAAATGAATATTGTTTTTTACACAATAAGCCTCGTTTCCTTGTTGTGCGAAGGCGCGATTACTAAGTTTCGCAATCTATTGTGTTTTTTAAATTCTAGCTTATTGTTTTCATTTTTAAATAACTTATGATATCTTGATACTCTAACCTGTACTTTAGTACAAACCAGCACCGCGTTACGCGAGGCTTTTAAAGCTCTGTTATATCACGGTAAAATCGAGTTTCGTTTTTTGTAGGACCTATCTGAGCGTATTGTGGTGTTGGAACAGAAGCTTGCGTCTCTGGGAGAGGAACGCGGTACGATGATAGACAACGTCGCGACATTGGGGAAAGAAAAAGATGAAATTATCGAGAATTTGCGAAAGGAACTACAAAGCCGTGATGAGAATATTAAAGCTTTCTTGGAAAAGGCAACGGTGGATGAGGAAGAGAAATTAGTCGCTGAACAAAAATTGCAAGAAGAGACAAAAATGATAAAAGAACAAAAAGAGAATAACCTTGTCAAACAACTCGAAAAGCGCTTGCAGGAATCAACGGCGGCTTTGGATAAGAAAAATTCACAACTTATCAGCAAAAACAATGCCATAACGAAATTGGAGAACAGCTTGAAAATTAACCGAGCCGATTTAAGCGCGAAGGAAGAAGAATTGAAAGAGCTCAGAACTAAAATTGAGCAACAGCAGTCCAATCTATTGAATAAAAGCCAGGAAAAGATGGAAATCGTGGAGAACTTGAAGTTTGTCGAAGGGGAATTGCTGATTATGAGTTCTAAAGAGAAGGAAACACAAGTGGAAATGGGGGAATTTATGAAAGAACTAAACAAGGCTAAAGATGACGCTGGAAAGTGGGAGTTGGAAGTGAAAAGGCTTCAACAAACGGAGGAAATTTTAAAAACGGTCGAGGGTCGTGTAGAGGTTTGCAATGTTTTTCTCTAATGTTTCGTCTTAATCTTTTTGTCAGCGCCTATGCATGAAAACTTATTATTGTGTCATTGTGCCAGTAGGTGTTCGCGATTGTAGGAATTACCAAGAGTTTCAACACAAATCTCTCTTTTTTTTCAGGAGTTGAAGAAAGTTATTGGGAGCAAAGAAGAGGACTTTATTTCGTTAAAGCAAGACTTTGATAAGGTATACACTGTTTTCATAACCTTTGATAAGGTAACATGCAATATTTTAACACGTTTTAGAATGTCATGATTATAATGCATGTTTGTCGTCTTCAACTTCGTAGTTTCTTTGCGTAGCTTACTGCTGCAAATACGTATAGCAATATTCCAATGCATCAGCTACCCTAGCTAGCATGTCCACGAGAATTATAATTATAGTCAAACCGGATGTTCTGTTCCCCGCAATGTTGCAACATTGCCGGGAACATGATTGCCGTTTCCCTGGCACCTTTTGTCGCAAATTGTAACTGTCATTGGTGACAACTTATCAAGTTTATTCGCTAGAACGTATCAAATTGAAACAGTTTAGAAGTTTGTAATAATATTTTACCGGTCTAATGATTATACTGCATCTTGAATGTACATATAATTGCGTGTATAAATAAATCAGATATAGATATAAAAAAACGAAATCATGTACTTCCGCTAATCATTAGATCGGTAAAGTATTATTACAAACTTCCTAACTGTTTCAAGTTGATACGTTCGAGCGAAAAAATTTAATAAATTGACCAAAGTTTCAATGTTGCGAGGAACAAAACATCAGGTTTGACTGCTTATCTCGAGTCGTATATCGGCTGATAGCCGACGAGGGGTGTAGCGCCGAGTTGGCTATCGGCCATATACGACGAGAGTGAGCAGAATAACTGTTTTATTATATACACAAACTTTGTCGCCCTTTCGCTGTATTTTGGTGTGCTATTATCAACTAGGCTTGGATTTCTATTTCACTCAACTCCAAAATCTTTCAGCCATTTTGTTTACTTTCTCTACTAGACAGATATGAGCTAATATCTGTCTAGTAGCCAACCAATGAAATTGCAGCATACCTCATATCTGGCGCTTGTGTATATAATAATTCAAATTAACGGTTCACATGCATGAATCGTTTGTGGCGTCGAGACGGAGAAAAATACTGATGATAGTTAATTCAAAGTGAAATTTAAACATTCTTTGAAATTCAGGTAGAAAAATATATCACAAAATGAAAAACCTTTATTTAAGAGGAGAGTAATAAAATAGAGAACATTCTTAAACTTTTTTTCTCATAGGCTCTTGATGATCTCGCGAATGTGCAAACTAGGGTAGTTGAACGTAATGAAAAACTGGAAGAAATGGAAATCCTTGTCTGTTCGTTGAAGAATGAGTCTCGTTGTAAGGAGGCTGAGGTTGCTCGGTTGCAAAAGGAGTTGACAAACGCGCGTGATGAATTGAGGAATATAAAGGAGACGAAAGATGAAGGGTTAGAACAAGTGAAACAAGAAATGGAAAAGACGGATGTGTGTCTAAAACGTATGTGTGTCATCGAAGTTGTTTGGCAAAGGTTAACAAAATTTTTGTTATGATCAACTTTTCATTCATAGATTACGAGGTGGATATCGAACGGTTGAAGAATGGGCTCGAAGAATCTAATCAGGTCGTGGAGCAAATGGAGAAAGATTTGACTTCAAAAGAAAAGGAGAATATGAGTCTTATTTCACAACTGGAAAAATTACTGCAGAATGAAGAAAAAATGAAGGAATTGACGAGGGAAAATGATTGCCTCGACGGGCAATGTGAACGATTTAAGATTAAAGTATGGTTTAATTTGACATGTTGAAATTACTGATTTATCATTCACACAAATCTTTACTTCTTTACTTGCAGATATTTGAGCTTGAGACAGAGGTAGAAAAACTGCAACAAGACGTGAAAAAAGAGACCACGAAGAAGGACACAGCAACAGCAGCATTGAGAGATGGCTTGGAGATTGTGAAGGCAAAGAAACAGGAGTTCGAGGCCAGAATGAACGAAGCTGAGAAAGAAAAAGAAGAAATAAAGAACGGTTTTGAAATGAAGATCGCAGATCTACGAGAAGAAATTGCAAGATTGTCGTCTGCTAGTAGCGAGAGTGGCGGGAAAACGGTAGACATTCTTTTTTCATCTTGCTGATGGTCTTTAATAAAGCTAACACTTGCGGCTAAAGACAGGAATCTAGTCCGGCTTATTATTGTTTAGCTTTGTAAGCACGTCTGTTTTGATCTATTTTTCGTTCGTGAGTAATATAAATACAGCTAAAATACGGAATATTTCAGCAGCGTTCAAGTGGTCAAAAGGTAATGACCTTTCCCAGTGTGCGGAATATCCTGGTTCGATCCCTGGTATGGTCTTTATTATTTTCACAATTTTTGGAATTTTTTTAAACCTTTTTCAACATTGAAATAATTGAATTTACAATACCTTTGGTTAGTTTTAGAGTTTACGGTTAGGGACAGATTTATTTTTAATAAATGTATTTTCCTTTAAGAATTTCTGCACTAGAAATCACAGCCCGGACTAGATTCCTGTCTTTAGCCGCATGTAAAACTAACTGATTACTCGAGCAGAGTAATCATTCTTCGACTTGTTATGCTCATGAATTTAATTTACCGTATTACATTATGTTTTTAAGGATCCATCGGACATGGAAGGTGATGACGACAGTAGCAATGGGTTAGTTAGTTTTTCCTTCAAAATAATCTTTGAATTTCCTAATGTTATACCAATAGTGATGGTAGGATGAGTTCATTTATATTCAATCATCTTATTTCAGGGACTATGTATACAAGCCGGTCAAGGTGGAGGTAGGTTTGTAGGAAACCACAACTGTTTTTTTATATTAGATTTTTTTAGGATTGTGTGTATGTAAAGTTTATTTTTTTTAGAGTTTCAACATGCCTGGAAAGGATAGAATGGAAATAGATGTGACTCCTATCACTGGAACGGGTTTGCCGAAAGGCAGCAAGAAAACAACAAAATCATTGAAAAGAAAAAGCAGCGATATGACACTTAGGGAGGTTCGTATGCATTATGAGATTTCATTGTAACTAACGTTAACTCGACTGATCTGACGTTTAACAATTATTAAATGACGTTGAGCATGATATGAAGAATTATATCAAGACCGAAATTTGCCGTTATCAACCAAAGTAAGAGGTCAAGGTTGACAATTCTTCATATCATGCGAGAACCGGATTCAATATTTTTTTTATTATTGGTTTAAAAATTTCAAAACAAATGCTCAATTCCTTAGCCCTTCGCCAGCCGTCGTCGTCTTCATATTCAATAGGGACCTTAAGCATCTAGGACGGGAACACGACGACGGCAGCTATCAATACAATGTTTCATTGAAAAGAAATGAATTATTAAATACCTATGGGAGTTTTAGACGTGATCTACGTTCTGTTTACAACGGCAAAACGTCGTTTATTACGTCCTGTGTAGAACGTCTGCATCTCAGGACATATAGAACAACGCTGTATCATAATATTAATTTAAAGAAGTATTCCAACCCAGTGAACTCTAAAAAGACTGGAACGATAACTTGGCCGCTATCTTTGAAGCCAGCACTGATGGCCGCCATGAAGGCCAAGAGTTGAAATTACACCACCAAAACAACGCGGGTTTTTATACACAAATCCATCTCATCTGATCATGAATAAAAGCTTAAAACAAGCATTAACACTTAGATTTTACTAAAAAACAAGTTTTATGAACGTGAAAAGGTGCAAACCTATTTTTTTGCGAGTTGAAGGCGAAGTTTTTTTTCGGCCCGTTCAAATTCTTTAAATATTTCAAGTACAAAGCTGGTACCTCGCCGGTTTTTACAGTAAGACGATGCGGATTACCTAGGTCTATCCAAAAAGGGTAAATTCGTTGTTTAAAGTTGAAGTGGTCAAAAAAATTGCACTTTTCTGGCAATTTTTTGCCAAAAAATACGATTTTTACGGAATTCTCACTCTCCCCAGTTCTTTTGAAGGCTTGATTTGCTCGCGCGGCCCCCTCTTAATCAGCAAATTATATTCAAATCGGCTTCATCCAATGGCTAGTCTTTATTGTTGAGTTATCGTTCCAGTCTTATTAGAGTTCACTTTTCCAACCACGTCGTCGTCGTGTTGCCGTCCTACGTGCTTAAGGTCCCTAATGCGTCAACGAGTGAATATGATTCTTGTCGTCATAGTAATATATGGCGCCAACGCGTTCAAAATGTTTTCATATTGACTCTATATTTATATTTTGTTTGCCATCGAGTTGATGACAATTTCACAGTTGGCTGTTAGCTAATCAAAAACCAGGATTTTTTTAAATAAATAATGAATTCTGTTAAAACCTCTGAATTTTAGATCCAGCAAGATTTTGCTAAAACAAAACTGAGGTACAATGTGTTGATCACAAATTATAACATGAACCTCCACAATAGTTTGTATTAAATTTAATTTCTTTGATGTTTCAGGAAAACACGCAGCTCAGTATCTGGTCGCTCACGGCCATCAAAAGCCAATATGACCGCATCCACGTTTTCTTTAACCACTTTGGTAAGTCGTGAATAGCGAAGGTATATAAAATGTATTCTAGCCAAAAAGATTATAACGCCCAGCATACAATACGCAAAAAAGGCATATGGTGCATGACAGATAGCAAAAAAGAACATGGATACAGTCGAGACAAAGCGGTGTAAGAGAAATAATTCATAATCTGCAAGCTTATACAGCCGATTCTGGTTAAGCGTTTAGCGGAAGTGTTGATGACGTTCGTTGTGGGCGTTGCAATGTGACGTTTCTAAGGGGCCAATTACACGTTTCTATGCAAAGAACGTTGCGCTGAATTTTAGGCGCGAAATTACCAATTTATATTGTTGTTCTATATTTAACATAAACAAGATGTGGAAGATTAGCAGTAAAGGGCGGTCGTATAGGCCAGGAAAAGCTTTGTCATCCGATTTAAGAGCTACTATTATTGATAAGATTATCGAGAGGGGTTGAGATACGACGAATGGTCATTATCGCGGACGATATGCGGCATCGCAAATGAGTCAAATTTTCCCCCTAGTTGTTTCTAAAATTTGGAAGCAGTTTGTCGAAAAGAAGTCTTAAAGCCCTCTAAAATCTGATGGGGAGAATAAAAGTGCTCTTTCAGACGGAGATCTCCAACTAATTGAAGTCCTGAAAACACATAAACCTTCGATTAGTTATTCGGAAATTGGAAATATTCTTATTGACTCGCGTGGCACAGGAAAGGTTTACTGTGCAAAACATGGCATACACACAAGTGTTTGTGGACTATTTACACGAAAAAGATCCTTACACCCTGAAATATTTTGATGAATGCGGTGTTAAGTTACCCACCAACAGCACAGGATTTTACGGACACACTCCATCAGGAGAAAGGGCAATGATAGGTAATGAAGGGTTTCTTCATTACCTACGAAATGTGGAAGTCGGGCACCTACAGGGCTTATGCTTATTCAAAATACCCACAAAAATATTAACAACTTCATGAATATGTTTCATAACATTTTCTCGTGAGAGGAGCTTCCCTTTGAGATGTCTTTGTAGAGTAGCCACATCCTTATTTAATAGTGACCAGTTTCGTAGCCAAAGACTGACGTATCTGTCTGGTTGCTCCGCGATAACAATATCTTCAATTATTTTGGCAACGGAATGAGTTAGTTTGTCTGCAGCTTGACACGCATCGTCCACTTCCTTTTGTTATATATAGTTTTTTATTTTCTACGCGAGGTAGGAGATCTTTTACAATTGTTAACTAATGTTCATTAATGTTCAGTTTCTTTACTGGATTCTCTACTCTTCACTTGATCTTCTGATCTTCGTCGTTTTTGAGTTCTTGTCTTGGTTGTCTGTCCTGTAAGGTTGAGCTTCCTAACGTTTCACATGCTTTTTACTCCGCTAGTCCACTGAAGGTTGGGGTGTTGTGCACACCCATTTATAGTAACGGTTGAGGGAAACTTGCAGACGTCATCAACCAGAGTGGCTGATTCTTATCCAACCAATCAGCGTTGTAAGTTAGAAATTTGGGTTGGTCTTAGAAGCTCGTTCCAGCTCTCATATCTTGTTTGTTTAAGGCGTTGTCGCACTAGTCGAGTTGGTCTTCTGCTCAATCGATCAATACTTAAAAATGTTCACAACTTAAAATGTTTATCATCAACAACTAGTAAAATTTACAAACAATACGTCTGTGAACCATATCTTTCAACTTAAACTATTTTCACTCTTATTTTATCGAATTGAATGAATTTTGATGACGTAATCTATTACATGCTTGACCGAGCAACATTTTTAACACAATTGATTGACATAAGAACTTGAATGGCCTACAGCACGCACATTTTTTATAAAAATGCAACCATTAAGATAAGTGAAGACTGAAGACTGTTTATCCAGGTATTAGTTCTGAGAGGATTATAAATATTTTCACCTTATTACTTATTTAATCCCACAATATGTCATACATGAAAGGGAAAGGCGATTAATGTTTGCTAATGGCCGAAAAATATACTAACTCAGGCGTCTTGTGGCAAAAATCATGCACTAATCCCTGTCATGCTCTTGATATTCCTATTTTTACAGCTATTTTTATATGCATATCTCTAAACACAATAAAGCTTTGCGTAACACTTTCGTGCCTTATTCAATTTAAGACGCAAACGGCCAATGTCTCTTTCTATAGCTGTACCACAGAATATCTATCAGAAAAATAACTCTATACTATTTTTTCGTGAATTGTGTTTCGTCATGATTCGTCACTTAGCAAGTGCATTTTTTGAGTTAGTTACCCCCCTGCAAATATCTAAAATCAGGCCATTTTTAGTATTAGCAGGGAGGTGACTGCCTCAAAAAAATGCACTTGCTAAGTGACGAATCATGACGAATCACACGTACGATAAAAGTACAGGAGTTCTACTCCTGATTGGTATTCTGTGGCTGTACGTTGGGCCTTTTCATTCATGTGCTTGAACATAAGGCCACAAGAAAATGCGGATTTACATGGAGAGAATTCGAAGGTACATATTTTTTCGTGTGGCCATGCAAGTTTCATGTGACAATTCCCACACGTAGATAAACTTCCCCCATTTTGGGGCGATGCTCTACGAATTTTTTCCAGAAGCTTCGTTCGAAGACGATGTAGATGTTGTCACCATCGGTTTATCGAATTCGATCGCGTACATTCTAAAGCTCTTTTCTTTTTCTAAAATTCCTCTCATTTGGGCATTGAGAAAACTTGGCGACAAGTCCACTTCAAGGCCATCATCGACTATTGTCCAACATAAAGAGGCTGCTTTCGCCAAGTGTAGGACATCTTTAAGTACACGCATTTTAAACATTTCAAACGAAAAGCTTATTTAAATAGTAATTGTAAACAACTTTAATCTGAATCAAAGACATTTTTCGCTGATCCACCAACAGCGCAACGTTCTTTGCATAGAAACGTGCATGTAATTGGCGCTTTGAAACGTCACTTTGCAACGCCCACAACGAAAGTCATAACACTTCCGCTAAACGCTCAACCTGAATCGGCTGTAAGTGTTTTCAAAAAGTACGTGTTTACTTTGTTTATTTCATATTTGTTCGCGGTAAGGATGAGTGGTTGTTTAATTTTCAGCTTTTTTGCAAACGCATTCTGTGAAAGGCTTAGTATTACCCCTTTGCTTTAACTTCAAAAAGTGTTTTTGAAATTGTAATTTGAATTTAAAAAAAAACTATATTAAAGTTTAGTATAATTTCAGTATTGAAAAATGACCTTTGAGCATTCTGATTGGCTCCTTCAGCAGTATTTATGAGGCAATAGTTACTGCTCAGAGCAGTCTGAGCAGTAACTATTGCTTTTCCCCCAAAAAACATGGCTGAAAATACTCAAAATCGTTTTGGAAAAATTTCGGAAGCAGAAATTGAGAACATAAATCAGTTGTATTTAAAAATAAAACTTTTTCAATACTGAAATTATACTAAAACAATTAGTCGCCTCAGGCTCGGTGATTACAAGCCTATATTCACTTCGCCTTCGGCTCAGTGAATATAGGGTTGTAATCACCTCGCCTTCGGCGACTAATTGTTAAATAAAACTTTTTATAGCCGTTCACATTTAAGGTTTTTTCTTTGTCTCTGAAGATTTTGTACTATTTTAATCGTTTAAAACTTCGATTTTAAACCATTACTTAATTGTTGCAATGCTATAATGGAGCAAAAATGCAAAATTCAACGGGCAATGTTTACACTAGCTTTTATTTCTGTATTGAATGATCGAGCTATAATATACCTAGTAAAATATATTTGAGTTTTGTGTCATTTCATAATATAAGTTTAGGTCAGGTTAGCTCAGAAAATTGTGTACTTGGTTTGAAATAGCGAGGGGTTGCTGCATGCATGTATTTTCTAGTTGTGTTTATTTCGATAAAGCATGTATTTTCAAGTATGTATTTGTTTCAATTAATTTGGGTTTACTGTATGGTCATACCGCACAATCTCGAACGATTTTACAACTGTTCCCTCCCATTTGTATAGTTTATGTATTTTCAAAATTTAGATGTACTTGTTATGTGATAGATCAAATGGCTGAACTTAATTTTGTCAAATGATCAATGATGTTCCTTATAGTGCGACGAAACGTTACCCAATAATCTTTAGTATTTTTAACTAACTAGAATTATACGTTTTCCACTAGGTGTTTCTGTTGCTGATATACAGGGTTTATCAAAAAAAGTCCCATATGTAAAATTTCCGTTTTTTTGAGATAATTTGCAGAATTTTGGAAATTTTTGTGTTCTGAGGGATAGTTAAAGGACATTGGCAACGAAAATTTTTATTCGCTATTTTTAAAGTGTTCAACCGTCTAATCATAGATATGGTGTTAATTTGTTCCAAAAATGTTTCGTTTATGAGTTATTTTCACCACAATTCAGCCAAAATTTGGACCTCGTCCGCCATATTGGATCAATTTTTGAAAAAATTATATTTGGCGGAAGTGACGTCATTTGATGGGTTCCCTAAACACATCAATATATTTTACTAGCGTGTTTACTGTGTTTATCGAGATTTTTTGCTTTAAAAAGGGAGTTGTAGTTTTTTTATGATTGTCATGGAACATATTAACGAAAACCATGCAGTTAGAGGAAGTGTTGCCCTACCAATATGAGCCAGAGGTGCAGGGAAAATCTTGTGATATATATCTAACGATAGCGATGCCGAAAACGGTAGAGATCCATCTCCTCTGACGAAGATTTCGATCGCGAGTTCGAAAGAGCGAATGCCGGGCGCCTTGAAAAACTACTTTGGTGTAATGTGGACATTGCGCATTATTAACAAGGGCTGTAGAATGTTATTGCTGCTATGAAAAAGCACTAGAGTACGACGAATACGAACATTTCGCAAACTCGCGCTTCGTCGTGTGGTCACTCAAATAATATTTTGTCGTGTCGTATGACATGTTCATTTGATTTCTCTCACATGATACGGCAATTCCTCTAAAAGGAACAAATAAACCGTGCGTTTGATGCTGTTCGATTAAGTTTAGATTTAATTGGGGAAAGAATATATTTAATACATGTAGATTCTGGTCCTATTTTAATATTATCGCTGCTATTTCGCCGTTTAACAAGATATGATCATTTATGGTTGCGTTGACACGTCGCAGTTAATTTGCACGGGATTGAAGATTTAATATATAAAGCACGAATTCCAAAGTGTAAGACAAAGTGAACGTATCATGCGGTTTATTTACATTTTTGAACAATTAAACTTCTATACTTTTTAAAGTACAATGAGCTTCTGAATTTCGCGATCGAACAACATTTAGGTTTGCAAGGCATCTAAATGAATATGAACTGTATAAAATGCACCGCATATAATGTCAATTGCACGGCATATAAAGAGAAATGCACCGCGTATAATGTCAATTGCACGGCATATAAAGAGAAATGCACCGCGTATAATGTCAAAAGGACAGCATATGATCAATGTATACCACGTAAGACAGCTATGGCATTCCATAGTATTGTTTATGTTCAGAGCCTTTATATTGAAGACTAGCACGTGCGCGGCACGCCGGAGTTAACGCCAGAAAAGGCGTCTTGTTTATACTAAAATATAGTAAAATTGTTAGCAGGGGAAAATATGCGCGCCTTAGCTTTAGTATAAATCTAAATATAGGTAAAATTCTAAACTTTGGGAGATTGGTTATTAGTTGTGTTGTGTTGTCACCGTAACGTCCTGTTGTGTGTCGACGTGCACTGCATGTGTAAATATGTGTGTACATAGTTCATATTCAATGTTCTCTTCCAAATATTTTGAAAAACATGTCCCCGCAATGTTGATGCATTAATTTTGCATAGGTATTTGATTCTGTCCCCCCTCTATACTCTATTTTACCAAGTTTTTCAAGTTGCCATATGAGAATACAACAATAGTTTATATAATCATATTTCCCGAACCCATCAAATGACGTCACAAATGTATGCTAGCATAAATTAGCATAAGGCTCGATTTTCAAAATGGCGGACCACCGATGAACATTTTTGGAAATTTTCTCAAGAACCAAATACGATAGACACACAAAAACATTAAATTAAGTATTTCCTAGATGATTTCAACAGATTTGGCAAATAAAAATTTTCGTTGCCAATGTCCTTTAAGACTTATCTGGTATACCTAGGGCAATTTTTTTTCATCAACAAAATTATTTCACGGGGGGGGGGTCCTATCCAATGATATTGAGAGGGCTTGCGCGCGAAAATGTTAAGCTGAAATTTAGATATTATCTAACTGTCTAAAAGTAGATTTTTATGATTTTTTATGATTTATGATTTTTCCTGAAACTTTGACAGTTTATTAAAAACCTTTCCTACTTTTAGACAATTAAATAATATGTCAATTTCAGCTACACATTTTCGCGCGCAAGCCCTCTCAATATCATTGGATAGGAACCACCCCGTCGGTAACATAATTTTGTTAATGAAAAAGCAAACTTGCGCTAGGTATACCAGATAAGACTTAACTATCTCTAGGAACACAAAAATTTGCATTTGGGACATTTTTTTATACATCCTGTATAAAATGTGTTTTCATCGACTTCTGTCATGCATAGTTGAGGATTTTGCATCATATTTTCTAGGATGAAGATTCCGAGAATGCCCATCCTAAGACGAAATCAGGACGAAAGTTCTTGAATATGCTACCTTTCCCGGAGGGAATAATAAAGAGCAAAACAAGTAAATTTAGTTTATTTAAAAAAAATTAAAGAGCAAACAAATGTTTGGCTTAAGTTTTATAACATTTTTTGGCAGTTTCCGCTTGGAAGTTGAAACAATTCTCCGATCTTTTTTAAGGTACAGACTCGAAGAACAGAACGAGAAAACTGTTCAAAAAGACGGAAATATCTGCTCCTCTAGATTCCCCAAATCCTGTCATGGTAGGTTTGTTAACCGTGATCGATCGCAGCCTGCGTTCATCTTGACAAAACCTTATGCTTTTTTGTTTTTTAAGGCTGACCATGTTGGCACACCTACGACTGCTCGGGCACAAGACGTAATTATGCGGCGGCTCAGGTCACGCGTTATTAAAGTGGCAAAATGATTGGTTTGTTAAGGGAGCGTCAACACTTTAGGACAAGATCTGGTCTGGATTATATATATTTTTCTTAGGAGCAAAACGAGCAGCAAATTTCTCACAGCTGTCTCAAATCCTCTCCAATGTACGCGCGTTTGTCAAAAGTATCGTAAACTTTCGCACCTGCGCAATGCACGTTGTTGTTTCTTGTCTTTGCAGGCAATTACAGCATTTTATGTTGCGTGCAGTTTAAAACTCTCTAACCATACTGAAGAAAGCGTATACCGTATTTACTCGTTTGAGCGCCGCAGCGCTCTTTAAATTTTTAGAACTTCAGATGCGGCGCTTAATCTAGGGCGGCGCTCAAGGGGGGGCTAAAAAATTTATCGCAAACCCGGCGCTCTTTCGGGGGCGGCGCTCAATCCAATAAATACGGTATACCTTTTTCTACAGCTGACCCCAGAGTTGTAACTATGTAAATAAATGCATTATTACTCCGGCGTCAACGACGGAGTTGAAAATTCGCCCCGGTTATGTTTTGTTTTTGTTTTTGTTTTTTTTTTTTTTATTTTTCGTCGTCGCAAGTCTGTATGGCGCGAAATATACTAGTATTTAAAACGTGTATGTGACCGTATTTATCTACGTCCCAGTCTTATCTCCTAAGAGTTGTGGTGCACAGCTTTGGCTAATTTTCCAATGCGCGATTCGATTTCGCTCGCATGATACGGCAATTCCTCCAAGAGGAACAAATAAACCGTTCTTTTCATGCTGTTCGATTAAGTTTAGATTGAATCGGGGTAAGAATATATTTAATACATGTAGACCCGGTCCTATTTTAATAATATCGCTGCTATTTCGCCGTTTAACAAGATGATGTGGTCGTGTATGGGCGCGTTGACACGTCGCGTAGTTTGCACAGGATCGAAGATTTAATACAACTATATAAGCGCGAATTCCAAAGGCAAAGTGTAAGACGAAGCGAATGTATCATGCGGTTTATTTACATTTTTGAACAATTGAACTTCTATACTGCGATGTGCTTCTGAATTTCGCGATCGAACATTTAGGTTCGTAAGGCATCTAAATGCGAATATGTATCATAGGAAGCCCAGACAAATGAGTTGAAGTTAATAAAAATCCGTAAAACACTTGAGTTATGTGTTAAAATTAATTAAAGTATGTAATATGCTACAAAACTACTGTTAGAACCATGTATGTAGCGTGCTCCAGTGGCGCTGCCATTTGACTATGCAACTAGTGACGTAACTTACTATATTATTAGGAAGGATGGAAACTCTCGCCTCAATTTTCAACATGTTCACAAATTAAAACACAAATTACTATAGTAAAACGGCACGTCGACTGCTAAATGCCTACCCTAGGTTTAAGTTGAATAATCAAACTATACTTTCATCACAAAAATAATGCTGAATTCAAAAGAAAGCGCTGGAAAAACGTACACAAACTTTGTAAATTTGCCGAAATTTTCGTGAATTCATGCGGGATGTAAGTACCTACCCAAAATGGCGGCGGCAGAAAAATCTGATTGGTCGATCATTCTTTGTTTACCTTTCTCGACCAATCAGATTGGTTTATCGTACTTTGTTTACCTTTCTCGACCAATCAGATTCTTCTGCCGCCGCCATTTTGGGTAGGTACTTACATCCCGCATGAATTCACGAAAATTTCGGCAAATTTACAAAGTTTGTGTACGTTTTTCCAGCGCTTTCTTTTGAATTCAGCATTATTTTTGTGATGAAAGTATAGTTTGATTATTCAACTTAAACCTAGGGTAGGCATTTAGCAGTCGACGTGCCGTTTTACTATAGTAATTTGTGTTTTAATTTGTGAACATGTTGAAAATTGAGGCGAGAGTTTCCATCCTTCCTAATAATATAGTAAGTTACGTCACTAGTTGCATAGTCAAATGGCAGCGCCACTGGAGCACGCTACATACATGGTTCTAACAGTAGTTTTGTAGCATATTACATACTTTAATTAATTTTAACACATATCTCAAGTGTTTTACGGATTTTTATTAACTTCAACTCATTTGTCTGGGCTTCCTATGATATGTATGCGAAACAGTACGCGAAGTCGCGAACTGTATTGTTTATGTCCAGAAGCTCTATATTGAAGACTGGCACGTGCGCCGGAGTTAACGCCAGAACGGCGTCTTGTCTTGAATTATAACACGAACGCCACAGAGATTTGCTTGAAAACATCAAATAATTTACAGGCTGCAGTGTTTGGCCAATTCGATATAGCATTCCGTAAACTGGCTATCTCTTGCGAATTCGCATTTCCTAACTCTCTGGATCTTATTTCCGCTTCGCATCTCATTGTGAGTGTTGTGAATATTTCGGAAATTTCACGCTAACTATTTTGAAAAATACGGTCATGAAAAACAGTTCTCTCAAATTATTTTCTAGAAAAAAACCCAAATTTTTAAATCACGTAGTGAGGACTACTAAGTTTTCTTAAAATGCCGTAGTCGGATGAGCGAGGGCTATGAGTCTATGGCGTCAGCACGAAGTATCACGAGTATCACGTCAATGTGGCGAATCTCGTGGCCGTAGCGGGAGCCGTAGTCAAATTTAAAGCTCTCTAATGCCATGGAAGCAGCGCCAGGAACGAACCGTAAGATCAAGCTGCGTCATATATGCTCAAATGGAGCAGGGCGAATTACAGGTATTCATTTCGTTTTATCGGCTATCGTATTCACTTTCCTAGCTATGTCTTTTGACCGGGCATTGGTGCTTCTTTGCCGGCTGTAAATAATGGTAATTGCACTAAGTGGAGTGCAATTTAGTGTGAAATCAAACGCGTTATTACAAAATCGCACGACCGCGAAGCGGGAGGCTCGGTTTGGTCATAACTGAGGCGTGAAAGCATGAGATTCCACTGTTAAACTGTGACTCGGATTGGTCATAATTGAGGCGTGAAAGCATGAGATTTCACTTTTAAACTGTGACTTGAACTAGTCATAACTGAGGCGTGAAAGCATGAGATTTCACTTTCAAACTGTGGCTCGGATTAGTCATAACTAAGGCGTGAAAGCATGAGATTTCACTTTTAAACTGTGACTTGGACTAGTTATAACTGAGGCGCTAAAGCATGAGATTTCACAGTTTTCACTGTTAAACTGTGGCTCGGATTAGTCATGTGGTAGACTGGCGCTATTAATAACGTAATTATGTAGGGGTATATAGGGTTTCAATGGCACGTGACGTCAGAAACATAATCGAAATTTAAGACGAGGGCGTGGGAAGTTATAAAGCAGTGTGTAATGAGCAGCCCGTGCGCTGATTGGGATTTTGTGTTATTTGAATAAATTGTATAAAAACTTGTGATTGTGTCGAAGATCACATCTTGACAAAGGCAGCATTTTCGACATAGTGGTACCTTCGACGGGATAGCGTTACCGTCTAGTTTAAAAACATCCTTTCTGGGGAAGTGTACAACGTATGAGAGTATGGGAACCGTGGATTTGGATACGAAGTTGACGCAGCTGAAGATTACAGTAGAAAGAACAGATAACATACTGGACTCAGGTAAGAGAGTAACTAATAAACGGCATCTTGAGACGATACAAGCTATTGCGAACGACGCAAACCAGTGTAAAAACGTTATCAAAACTACAAAGACTGCCGAGAAGGCAGAACTCTCTGAAATTAGCGAATGGAGTAATGAGATTGATGCTAAGCTTCAAGCAGCGACGCAACGGTGACTAAGCTTGAGGAGTGGCTTGCAAAAAAATGAGCAGGCGCAAAAGCTTGTAGCTCAAGAGGAGCAGTTTAGATTCGAAATGGAACTGCATGAGATAAGGATAAATTGCAAGTGCTCCAAACTGGTGCAAATTACGATGCCAGTCCCAGCATTATATTGCAAAAATTATACACTCTTAATGTCAGACAGTTTTAGACCGGCAAAAATATACGGCTAGAAAACGGCTCAATTAGAACGATTCATTTTCTGCACTAATAGTTTGCTATGTTGAACATTATAATATTTATTTATAACGTGAAGGGATGTTAATAAATTATCTTTTATTACTTTAAAATCTGTGATGTGTTAACAACAAAAAACAAGCCGCCTATCAATTTCTGACCCACCAAGTTGTTTGCCAGGACCAACCCCCTACGGTGCACATTGTAAGATGTCTTGTCCCTCAGGATATCTAGACAGTGCGGCCACAGAATACCTAACAGAAGCAGAACTCTATACTATTTTTTCGTAAGTGTGATTCGTCACTTAGCAAGTGCATTTTTTTGAGGCAGTCATCCCCCTGCCAATGTCTAAAATCAGCGCATTTTTAGTATTGGCAGGGGGGTGACTACCTCAAAAAAATCCGCTTGCTAAGTGACGAATCATGACGAATCACACTTACGAAAAAAGTACAGGATTTCTACTTCTGTTAGGTATTCTGTGGTGCGGCGCTGTTTTGTAATAAAGAAGCGAAATGGGAGGGGCGTGATGTCGAGTGTGAAGGTAGGCTACTGATCTCAAATAACTTTATTGCGCAACCTAATGTAATTTACTTATATCATAATGATATATGCATACATTTCACTATCCCTGTGTCCATTGTGTCTTCGTATTTTTTACTTTAATTGATGCAGAAAATTGGTAACATTCGTCTAATAAGGACATTAGGATAACCCTTCGATTACAATTTAGAGAGAAAGAATACAATGGGAAACAACCATAACCCACAGCATGCCAAACAGATTCATCTTCAACAGATATTCTTCGTAACAATAATCCGAATTATTTATCCGAGTATTAATCCGAATATTTCCGAAAGTTTCCAAGCGATCTAAAATGGCGTGAAAGGACTGGAACTAGTTGTAAAAAAGTCTATTTATCTGTTGAAACAACTTAATATCTATTGAAATATGCTTTATTTCGGTTTAAAATTGATGTCAAAGCAATATTTCTTATAACTAAAGTTTCTTATAACAAAATTTTGACTGGTTTCATAAAGACTAACATATAAATATAAATTCTACGGTAGAGTGGATTTCTATTTTGAAAAACTTTCTGAGCACACTTCTCTCAATTTTCTTCCAAAACGAAGTGACAAGGTAACCGTACTGAAGACAGACCCAGGAATCTCCACCACAACAATTCGTCTGTCAACTTTAAAGTATAGCGATAACTCGCAACAGCACGGAGGAAAATTAGACTTCATCGTGACCCTGAATGGTAAACCTATTACCGTGCCAAAAGAATTAAAACTGGGCATAACACGTTTCCCAATAGTTGTTAAGTATCTTGTGAGGGATGAAGCTGGGTACTACGCAGAATGTCGTCTGAATTATGGCGTAGTTGGTAAGATGAAGTGACAATGTAAGGGTTGTTAGGAAAAGCCTCGGCCATTTAAATAATCTTTCAGGACATGGTTTTAAAGGCATTTTTAGCAATAAGAATTTATATAAACACTGTTACGATACACAGGATTTCCACTTTAATAAAATACTTTTTAACACTT